ATGGAGGATGAGCACGAACGGAGCATGGACGAGACGACTCATCGACGACCTGAGACCGTGGACGGAGAGGCAATTTAGGGAAGTGAATTTTTACCCTACCCAGTTTCTTACCGGCCACGGGTACTTCAGGAAATATCTGTTTGACAGAGACAAAGTTAACAGCACCGACTGTAAATACTGCGGACACGAATGTGACGACGCAGAGCATACATTTTTCGAATGCTCTCACTGAAACGACGAAAGGCAAAGACTGGAGACGACACTTGGAAGCATCACGCCCAACAACATCGTGGCAAAGATGCTGCAAGACAAAGACTACTGGACGGTAACGGCGACGTACGTTGAGACTATCCTACGAGGGAAAAAGGCGGACGGTTGCCTGGAAGTCGAGTGTTAGACGAGAAGAATGCGAGAGTAAATGGTATGAACAAATGGATGAATGTGAATAAACGGACGTAACGAAACGATACAGGACCCGTGGACAACGAGAGGACTTGACGCGGTTCTCCAGCGGGAAATAATGCTTACGCGGTTCCCCGCTGGAGAATGGTGTAGGTGGACTTTACTACTCTTCCCCGGACGGTTTACCCTCCGGTTGAAGAGAAGCGGGATTTGGGCGGTCAGCTGGTCTTCGACGACCCGGAGGCTCCTTGCGTTCGATTGATAAATCGCTTGAAACAGCCCGGTCTGAGAGGATCAGCGAGTCACGTCACACGGCGAGTGAACTGCCATCACACTCCAACCGTTATGGTCTATGAGGATTTATCCCGTTTTTTACCCCTATAAAAAAAAAATAATACTAATAATAATGACAATGCCGGGCTGGTCCATTGAGTGGTAACATCTCACCTGGCAAATGCTAGCTTCCAACGTCCACGACGTGCCACAATACTGGTGGAAGGACGAAATAGCCGAGCTACGCAAGATATGCTTGGCAAATCGGCGACGTGCGACGAGGGCTGGAGGTGGACCCGAAAGGGAAAACCTTCAGGCCGCGTACAAGACAACACGAAAGACGTTGACGCGAGCAATACAAGACAGCAAGACACGATGCTGGAGGAAGCTCTGCGAGGGGGGAACGAGGATCCCTGGGGAACAGGATACAAAATTGTGACCGGCAAACTAGGAGTCCGAGTTGCCCCCGAACTCAAAGATGCCGAAACAACAGTACGGATCGTTAACGAACTATTTCCGATGCATCCGATTCGGAAGAACGTGACGGACGACGCTGACGCATCGGCGCCCCCCGTCTTTGCCGCTGAGAACCTCATCAGAGCAGAGAATGCAATGAAGACGGGCAAGACCCCGGGACCAGACGGAATACCAGCCGAGATTCTCCGGCTCGTGGCTCGTCTACGGCCGGAGATACTTCTCGACCTGTACAATACGTGCTTGACGAGAGTCAAGTTCGATCAAATGTAAAGGTTTGGCTTACAGTTTTCTTTGACTGCAGGGGCGTGGTGCATCATGAGTTCTTGCCACAGGGTAGAACAGTAAATAAGGAATATTACCTGCAAGTTATGCGCAATTTGCGCGAAGCAATCCGACAGAAACGTCCGAATTTGTGGAAAAATAAAAATTGGCTTTTGCACCATGATAACGCCCCTGCTCACACATCGTTGCTTGTGCGCGAATTTTTGGCTAAAACCAACACAGTAACAATGCCACAGGCACCGTATTCCCCAGATCTGGCCCCGGTGACTTCTTCTTGTTCCCAAAACTGAAGAGGCCCATGAAAGGACGGCGTTTTGCCACGATTGAGGAGATAAAGACGGCATCGAAGGATGAACTAAACAAGATCACAAAAAATGATTTTTTGAAATGCTTTGAGGATTGGAAAAAGCGTTGGCACAAGTACATTATATCCGAGGGGGATTACTTTGAAGGAGATAAAATAAAAATTGATGAATAAATAAATATTTTTTGAGAAAAATAAAAATTCACCTTACTTTTTGATCACACCTCGTATGACGCATACAGACGATACTACCCATGAGAGTGGGTACATACGAAACGGAGACCAAGGGGGAAGTCAAGTACCTTGGGGTAACCCTCGATACGAAGATGACCTTCTGGCCTCACATACAGAAGACAGCCCGAAAAGCGGCAGAGAGGATAGCATCTTTGAGCCGCCTGATGGTAAACACGACGAGACCGAGACCAGGAAAGCGGCGACTGCTAATGGTGACAGCTCACTCGATCCTCTTATACGGCGCGGAAATATGGGCAGATTCCTTGAAGACAAAGAAGTACTGTAAGACAATAACGATGGTACAGAGACAGGGCGCTCTGCGAATCGCTTGCTCCTACCGAACAGTCTCTGCGCAGGCTATCCTGGTGGTGGCGAGCGTAATACCCGTGGATCTTCTTGCCTCTGAACGCAAAAGGATCTATGGGAGCAGCGCAGACATAGGACGAAAGAATGCGGCAATCGTTGAACGCGAAAGGACGATCGACATGTGGCAAGACCGATGGACAGAAGAACGAGGTTGCAAATGGACGAGACGACTGATACGGGACGTGAGGCCGTGGCTCGGAAGTAATTTTGGTGATGTGAATTTTCACGTCACCCAGCTCTTGACGGGCCATGGGTACTTTCGACGGTACCTCCACAATATGAACAGAGTACGAACACCCGACTGCAAGTATTGTGGACACGAACGAGACGACGCGGAACACACGTTTTTCGGGTGCGACCGCTGGACAAGACTCAGACGAGAACTAGAGACAACATTTGGCAACATCACCCTCGATAACATTGTAGAGGTGATGCTGCATAAACCCGAATGGTGGCGTTTAGTCGCTACCTATACGGAAACCATACTAAGACGTAAGAACGCGGAAGACTGTCTGAAGAACGACTGAGCAGACGGATTGACGCGACGTAACGACGCACGGTGAAACGATACGAATGAACGAACACAGACAGAACCCCCAGTCAGAAGTAATAACAACATAGTCCCTGGCTGGGGGAAGGACAACAAGGAGATGGCGATTTAGTGGGTAGGCCTGTCTTTTTTTTTTTTTGGGGGAGTCCCACATACCTCCTTAGATCAAGACTAAGGGAATCCGCAAAAAGGATTCCGCAACTCCTTGTAAAAAAAAAAAAAAAAAAAAATAATGACAATAAGCAAATTAGAATAAAATCTGATTTCCGTCAGCACCGAAAAATTTTTATATGTTATCATTTCCATGATTTGTCCATTTTCTGTTTGTTTTTCGTGTATGATTTCATTTATGTAGAGAAGGGTCGGGCGGCTCCGAACTGTATGATGTCATGATGACGAATATTATGTACAAAAACTTATTAGATACTTTATTATAAATTAGTTCAGGAACAAGGTCAGTTATAAGCAATAGCATAAACTCCTGAACAGATTCCTAAATTGTTATATTACTACGCACTTTAAATATGCATTGAGAATCTTGAAATATTTATATGGCACTAAATATTTGAAATTATGTTATAATACAATTGAAAATTGCAAGATTATTGATTGTTATGTAGACGCAAATTGCGCAGGCAATAACATAAATATGTTAAAAAGTTAACTACAGGGTACGCGATTAGATTGTATGGAAACTTGATTTATTGGTCACAACAAAAACTAGAATGTATTACAAAAACATTAACTTATGCTGAATATGTAGCATTGTCAGAGTTGGTGGCTGAAGGGAAATATATAAGAAAGTTGTCAAACATTTTTGAGTTCGAAATGGAAAAACCGATTAAGATTTATAAGGATAATTCAGGTGTGATAAACATTGCAAAGCATGGCAACTACCAAAAAACACTGAAATTCATTATCACTATGAGCATGAAAGTGTAGAACAACAGTTAATTGATATTGTTAAAGTAGATTCTGACAGTAATGTAGCAGATATATTTACAAAAACCCTTTATTGATACTTTTATCATAGTATAAAGGTAAGAATGTGTATTGTGAATAATACCTTTATGCCTTTATACGATAAATCAGTAAGGTAGCGTCCGTCATTTTGGTCGTAGTCACAGAACTCTTGTCAAGTGTATTACGAAAGTTTTCCTTACTTTAAGATAATACTACATTTATTTAAACTGTTCACTCTTTATTTAACTCTTTATTATTAATTAAGCAAACATTAACAATAATAAATCATGAGACTATTCTTAAATCATAATCTTCGATTATAGATTTTTGATTTATCATTTCGTACAATGCTTTCGTCTTTGCCTGTATTATTTTGCTTTGCTGTCTTTTATTCTTATGCCGTTTAAAATTTCTAGTATTTAGTCTTCTGATTTTATGATTAATTTTCTTATAACAACCAATACAAAAAAAGAAGTTTACAATAATATTCTAGTTCAAAGAACCAAGTTAGTTAACACTATCTTTTATCATTTAATTGAAGTAATACGTTATGAAATAAATGCCATTTTGATAAATAAAACAAAAAATGTTGGATTGTCGAGACTCATGAAAAATTGTCTCTCACTCAATCCGAGTCAAAATTCAGTTTATCAAAATACAGGTTTGACAGGTGATTAAGATAATGTGACAATAATAAATTATGAAAGTTACTTTAATGATACTGTATCTTTTAGCATGCTGTTTGATTCTACTGAAGATTATCGAGAAATTGTGATCAATGTTAAGCATTAATTTATAATAAAATCAAGAAATGACTTGAATGCTGCATCGTCAAAGCCCAAGTCAACCTGATTCTTATAAAAGTAATGTATCTATTGATATGTAGATATTTTAAAAAAATTTATAATTGTAAGTAAATATATTATAAAATAGAGAAAATTAAAACATCAGGCGTAGTTGACAGTTCAATTTATTTGGAAAATTTAACCATCAATTGTGTCTGACAATTTACTTTATTTGTATGATTTTCTATGAATGATTTACAATCGAAAAATTATTAAGCAATAAAATTTTATAATTTGAAAATGATTTAATTATACTAAAATACTATTTTTATTTTTATAGGTAAAGTATGTTATTTAAATATACCTTGAGAAAATCAGCATCCCAAGAACTTATATCATCTGTTCGTTTTTCTTTATTTTCATCGTCTTCTGGGGGCGGTGGATCATCTTTGTGATATGTTGCCCATTGAATTACTTTTCGTAATATAGCAGAGTTAACATTTGGCAAGGGAACAACTTCTTCTTCATCTTCGTCCATACCAAGATCTTCTAACATTGTTTTTATAGTGACGGAACATTTTGCTATATCCACATCAACTTCAAATACTTCTCCATCCGAACTTTGTAACTTTATATTTGGCATCTAAAGAATAAGAAAATTCAATTTTTTAACATAATATGTGATAAAATTTTTCGACACTTTTAGTTCGACTGTTTTAAATATAATGTATACAGGGTGTCCCATTTTAAAGGAACCACCACGAAATTTTCGACGGTTGGCGTTGTACAAAAAAATTGTTCAGACAACAGTTGTTTGGGACAATGGGGGCAACCGTTTTGTGAAATCCGATTTGATCTTGAGATTCATTTTCAAGGTCATTTGAAGGTCAAAGTCATTTTTTGAATAGGAGCCCATATTTTTGATCGCGGATTCAGAAAGAGCGAAAAATTCTACGTTCAGATAACGTATTATGTATGGGGTGCGGTTAACCCCCCCCTCGTCTAAGGTCATGTAGGGGTCAAATTTATGATTTTCTTCATCTATGCGTAGGGATGATCGGGCAAGAGTATGGTTAATTGTAATAACCCAATAACTCGATAACCCAAATAACCCAATAATCCAATAACCCGATAACTTCAATAATTCAATAACCCCAATATCCGAAAAAAATTGTAGGGTCAAACAACAGTGATCTTGAGCTTAAACTTCAGGTTGATTTTCAAAGTCGACTTCATGTATTCAAAGCCTTCATGAGAAGTGTCATTTTCCATTTTGTGGGATAACATGTTACTTCCATTCTTTTTTCTAGTTTCAACTAAATTGTTTAATAACACTTTTTTAGTATTATTTATGACAATAGTGATTCGCGAACAGTCCTTCTCAGGATAGTTCAAGTGTAATTTTCTTAGTCGACTTAAAAGGAGGGAATATGCCGGATTATTCGAGAAACGAAATTGTTGATATTCTGTTGTCTCTCGGGGCATGTCAAGGCCGATATCATGCTGCGGCAAGGTATTACCGCCAAAATTACCCAGGGAGGCTTCACTACCCGAACCACGTGAGAATCCGAATCATCTAGCAAAGAGAGACACGTCGATCCCGAATACGCAGAAATCGTCGTCACATTATGATGCCGAACAACGATGATCCACGAATTCTCGTCGTTTTGGCAATGGTTGATTTGGATCATCATATCTCGTTGCGTGAAATTCAGAGACGTACTGGAATCCTAAGATTAATAGCCGCTAGATTTTTGCAGCTGTACAGATTTCATCCGTATCACATAATTTTGATTCAAGTTTGGTGCGGTATAATAAATGGTTATCTGATAGGACCTTATTTTTTCGATGGGAATGTCAACGGTGCAGCATATCTTGATTTCCTGCAGAGTGAATTACCAGAATTATTGGAAGATGTGGACTTGGAAACCAGAAGACGATTATGGCTTCAACAGGATGGTGCACCGTGTCATCGCTCACTAATGGTTCGTCACTTCTTGAACCAGCGATACCGAAGACGATGGATAGGCATTGGTAGTGAGATTACTGAGTGGTGTCCAAGATCACCAGATCTGACAAGTCCAGATTTCTTTTTATGGGGCTATTTGAAAAATGTTGTTTATGCACAGCAACCAACAACACAGCAAGATATGATGTAACGCATCATACAAGCTTGCAGAGCTATTCTGCGTCACGTTTTGATGTCCACAGTTAAAAATTTTGAACGTAGAATTCAACACTGCATAAATTTGAACGGGGGTATTTTTGAACATCTTATCAGATAAATGTTTGTGTTACAATCTTGACCATAACTCTATCTGTAGTCAACGTCTTGTCTTGATCGGCTGAGCATTCCCACCTTGCCTTCATTAGCTGGGTAATCAATACTTTGTCTTCAGTGGCCGGGTAATCGATACTTTACCTTCATTGGCTGGGTAATCAATACCTTGCCTTCACTGGCTGGGTAATCAATACCTAGCCTTCATTGGCTGGGTAATGAATACCTTGTCTTCAGTGGCTGGGTAATCGATACTTCACCTTCATTGGCTGGGTAATCAATACCTTGCCTTCACTGGCTGGGTAATCAATACCTAGCCTTCATTGGCTGAATAATCAATACCTTGCCTTCATTGGCTGGGTAATCAATACCTTGCCTTCACTGGCTGGGTAATCAATACCTTGCCTTCACTGGCTGGGTAATCAATACCTTATTAACCTCACCCTTGCCCCGGTGGGATGGGGGGGGGGGGGGGTGAACCACTCCCTCAACATAATACTTTATCTAAACGTAGAATTTCCCGCTCTTTTCGAATCCGGGATAAAAAATGGGGGTCCTTATTCAAAATATCTCTTGGTTATTGGGTAATTGGGGTTATCGATTTATAGGGTATTGGAGTTATTGGGTTATTACAATTAACCTTATCCTTGCCCGATCATCCCTGTGCATAGATGAAGAAAATCATAAATTTGACCCCTACATGACCTTAGGCGAGAGGGGGGGGTTGACCGCACCTCACACATAATACGTTAGCTGAACGTAGAATTTTCCGCTTTTTCCGAATCCGGGATCAAAAATATGGGTTCCTATTCAAAAAATGTCTTTAATCTTCAAATGACCTTGAAAATGAATCTCAAGGTCAAATTGGATTTCACAGAAAGGTTGCCCCCATTGTCCCAAACAACTATTGTCTGAACAATTATTTTGTACAACGGCAACCGTCGAAAATTTCGGGGTGGTTCCTTTAAAATGGGACACCCTGTATATTATGGAAGCTTTTTAACATAAATGCTTTCAATGTAAAATATATTGTTTATCGGAAAGTATAAATATTAAGTTTAACATACTGTCACCATTTTTGAAAGTCTCGTTTCACATTTTAACCATTCAAGTTAGGGAAATTTTTGTTAGTCATACGAATCTTTTAAAAGATAAGAAGATTTTCAAGTTAAGAAATCCGTACGTACATGCATTTGTGAGTGTATATATTGCGGATGATATTTTCACGATAAATCAAAATCATCTAAAAAGCTTAATAATGAATGATACTGCAATAAGCTTCGTTCTCTTAGATGTAGAAAACATTTACCTATTATTTTTAGGTAGTGGTATCAATTTAACTATCTTTAGGACGGTACATTCCGTTAAAAAAAAAAACTAGTTATGTGACTTCGAAAGGCTCTCATTTTCTTCTCCCAAATAAATATTTAACATAAACTCACTTTCAAAAAATTATATATACAACAATTTTATAACCTTTGAAAAAACTATTTTATTGTCAAATTTACAAGCAATTTTTTCATATAACCAATTTTTTTTTCATTTTCTTTACCAAATTATCGTATAAAGAATCTGTAGTAAATCACATTCACATCTTTATTGAGATGTAAGTTAAAATTCTAAAAAGGACTGTTCCTAAAATTAAACCGAAATTATTTTTTTATGATTGATTCCTTAGATAGGAAGATTTTTCATGTCCACATCAATATTAGCTAATTAATGTTAATATTGCCCAAAAAAAAAACTTATTTATTTGGACTAATTATGCTTAATAACTTCCACCATATACTATAACGAGTCACATTCTCGTTATGTCTCTCTCTCCCTGCGGCCAGTCTATTTATTACTCATATTTATACCTTACCATGCATTATAATAATTTGTAATTTGTAGCGCAGTTGAAATGTCAGCTAACAAGGGAAGGGTCGAGCCCTACGATCTATACCATCGATAGTCCTTAGCGCGGATGTCGCGGAGAGACCGCGATCGCAAAGGGGAGAGAGAAAGAGAGCGCGCAATGAGCAGTTGGCATGCGAGCCGAGACCGGTACGGACGCTAGCTTAATCTGACAGCAACATCTTTTTTGCGTTACGAGAGATTACGGAGGAGTAAGCGAGTACGCAGTGGCGATTATACAAGCCCGAAGATTGCCAGTGATAAGCGAAGACACACAGTGGATGCTGACAGGAATTCCGTCAGCTATAAAGCTTGGAAGCGAGGACGCCCGCGCGAACGTAGACTAGGAGTAAGCGTGGTCGCGATCTATTGTACGCGCGTTTCTATCGTTCTAACAACCGACGACAACAACTGTAAGTGCCTACTCGATTCTTTTCTCTCTCCTTTGGCTCCCTCTCTCTTTCCTATTGCTTGCGAATCACATTCGTTGCTTTAGCTTTTCGCCCAACCTACGCACTCTGTCATTTTGCTCGGCATTGCGTCTTGCCTCGAGCCGCTTTAAGCGAATTTGTCGTCCGATCTTGCTCGGTTGCTGACAAGATCGGTGCGTTGCGTTTTGTTGTTGCCTCGTTCGCTGCCGCTCACATTTCGTCAACACGCGCGCTTGCATGTACTCGTGAGTGCCTAAATACATAATTCATTTTTACTAAAATCCGCAGTGTCTTATTCCGATACACCTGCCTTATTGCATAACCACTTCGCAGCGAGACTCTTTAGGTTGTCTCTCGCCAAGTAACCTGTAGCTCACGATACTCTCTGCGGGCCGAATTTCTACGTAAGAAAGGAGGCAAGCTGATGCAGCTGGATCCAGGCACTGTTCGCGCTGGCGCACAGGGTCGCTTTGGATAGCGCACTTCGCTTTATTAAAATATTAATCTGCGAGAATTATTTATTATATAGCTGATTTAGCCCGAAAAGAGCTCGAGGTAAAACCCCGTTATAATACACAAAAAAAATCCAATCTAGTAGATAAGAAACGGCGTTTATCAAGCAAAATGTCATTATTAAGGCATGCCCATTCTTTAGATTTTGCTGAAAATATTTTAGTTATATAAAAAAATTCACAAATTTTCTAATTCATATATCTTAATACTATTTGGTAAGTGTAGTTAACATATCCGTTAAAAAAAAATATGGATATAATGGCTTTCGTTTGATTTTATTAACCATTAACCCAACCCTTTCAGGGGCACTTTTTTCTGGTGCACTTATCCCAAACCCGAAAGTATATATAAAGGTTTTCGAGGTCGAATTTGAAGCCCGATTTTCAAACTTCAAAATGGATCCAATATGGCAGACAAATTTTCAAACTGAAGCTTATATGAATTAAAATTTGTGTAACTGGGTTTTTCGGATCGCTGATTACAAATCTGGAGTCCAATTTTCAACATTCCAAATGGAGATGCGTA